CCCGCTGAGCCACCAGGGAGGGCCTAGGCGTGACATTTTAAGTCTTTGTTTGGACTATAGTTTGTCCAGCAAACTAAAATACAATCTGGCCGCTGCCTGGTCTTCCCTCTTGTTCACGAATTATGGAACCAGAAAAACGTGAATTTCTGCCACTGTAATTGTGAATTCCTGCCAGAGGACGTGGGTCATATAACCTCCCAAATGCAAGTGTGTGGCTTTGTCCTCACCACCTGGAGGGCCTACAGATGAGTGCTTCCCTCCATGACTTGACTATTCAAAGAACCATTAGAAGCATTTCCCTGGAGCTAAATTCCTCCATGGACCCTGCAGTGACACCCATTGCTGGCTCAAAGGCTATTTCTATTAAATCAGAACACTTTGAGTTCTGCTTTGTTATAACAAACTTCCCTTGTCTTCTCCCCCAGTCTCTTTAATTATTGCTTGACCTCTGTCCTTTCTTTAACTTGTCTACTTCTTATGAGAGCAGCCTTACCACTTATTTTTTAACATTTATTTATTTATGCTAACAGAACTGAGGTACAGGCCAGAGGTGTGGTGAGAGAATTCACCAGAGAGAGAGAGTGGGGAGCAGAACAGGCAGATGTACTGAAATACACTGCTGAGGGGAGCAGTGGGCGGGTCAGGAGAGGTCTGCCATGCCATATGGGTCAGCTCCCTGGTCGGGGATCGAACTCTTGCTGCAGTGGCTTCAGAGAACTTCATAATGCGGTGCTTGAAACCACTGGGCCACCAGGGAGAGTCTCAGTCCTAACTCTTTTTACTCTACTGATTACCTGATTCTGGTGTGTCCTCTGTGATGCTCTGAAAACTTTGTGCTAACACAAAGTTAGCAAAACCAAATACTTGTGCCTCATCTTCTTGGTGCTTGACGTTCTCAGTCGTCTTTAATTCTAGAAGCTCACCCTCCTTTCCTTAACATCTCAGGCCTTGTCACTTGCCTTCTTCCTGTGTCTCCCTATGCCTACCTGAAAAGCTGCTGTTCTCATGACTTTATGATGTCAGGTAATACACACTCTCCATGAGTGAAGGTGCCTGAATCCAGGTTTCAGTAACCATCATGTATGTGCTGATGGCCTTAGGCCTGCATGTCTTGCAACGACTCCTGCTAACATGCACCAGCATCTTGCCTCCCTGTTGTTGCATCGGCAGAGGCCTGGTCTGGGCTTCTGGGGGCATTGCTTGGATGCTTTCTACCCCTAGTCTCTCAGCACCCCAGCTGTTGCTAGAGGAGTGAAGCAGTTATCCGCATGGGGTTCCTTCTTTCTCAAAAGCAAATCTAAATGAACAATCTAGTGTTTGATTATTCTTTAAAGCCTGGTGGCGTGGTAACTTAATTTAAACCAATTAATACAAATATTTACTTTGCTCTAAGCTCATAAAGCTTAAGCTTAATTGTTAAGGCATTTTTGCAAGGATGTACTACAGCTATACTATCAACACTACTACCTTAGAAGTTAGAGCTATATATAGAAGGCCCCCCCTTTTTTTTTAAAAAGATTTATTTATTTATACAGAACTGGGGTACAGGCCAGAGATGTGGAGGGTGAGAGGATTCACCAGAGACAGAGCGGGAAGCAGAACAGGCAGATCGAGGAAGTACACTGCTGAGGGGAGCAGCGGGCGGGTCAGGAGAGGTCTGCCTCGCCATGTGGTCGCCTCTGGGGCAGGCGGGAATCGAACTCATGCAGAAGTGGCTTTAGTTTCTTAGTGCAGTGCTTTAACCCGCTGCCTCACCAGGGAGGGCCTAGAAGCCCCTTTTTAATGAATAAAAAAGGCACAATAGTTCTGTCCTTTGATTTTTTTTAAAAGATAATTTTATGCTACTGTTTAACATCTGTTATGCACTTCTAATTAATGCCCCATTTTCATTAAGAGGTGTTTTAGTTTATTTAGGTTGCTATAACAAAAACACCAGGGATTATATGGCTTCAACATGCTTTATTTCTGATGGTTCTGGAGGCTGGGAAGCCCAAGATCAAGGTGCTGGGAGACTTGGTGTCTGTGAAGGCTAATAACTTCTTGGTTTTTAGCTGCCATAATCTCATTGTACCCTCTCATGATAGAGAGGGCAAGGGAGCCTTCTGGGCTCGCTTTTATACTGGGGTCTTTCTTATAAGGGCACCAACTCCACTCATGGGTGCTGTACTCTCATGACTTGCTTACCTCCTGAAGGTGCCCCCAAATACCATCCCATGGGGAGAAGGTTTCAATTCAACACAAAGTTCAATCTACAGCACGTAAAATGGAGATACAGTTCTGCCTACTCATAGGTCTAACTGTAAGGATTAAATTAGTTGCATGCAATAGAGTCATGTCTAGCACAGTTGAATCTGCATTTGCTACTTTTTTTTTTTTTAAGATTTATTTATTTATGCTTACAGAACTGGGGTATAAGCCAGAGGTGTGGTGGATCAAAGGATTCACCAGAGAGAGAGTGGGGAGCAGAACAGACAGATCCACGAAGTACACTACTGAGGGGAGCAGCAGACGGGTCAGGAAAGGTCTGCCATGCCATGTGGGTCAGCTCCCTGATTGAACTCTTGCTGCAGTGGCTTCTGAGAGCTTCCTAATGTGGTGCTTTAACCCGTTGTATCACCAGGGAGAGCACTGCATTTGCTACTTTTATCATTCCTGTTTTTATTATCTCCATTGCTTTCAGATTGTGCACTTGCACAGAGGGAATCTTTATATTACCTTATGTATAGTACTGATATGGAGTCCTTTATTATGTAAAGTACATAATAAAGGCTTAGCAAATACTTGAATGAATGTTGACTTGTGCCTAAAAACTGTTATCTTTGAGAACAAGTGCTGATAGAGGGAATGAATCCTGTAACTGACAACCTCAAGGTTTATCTTTTATGTCTTACTGTTTGTTTGTTACAGTGGTAAATAAACCCAAATGTTTTTCAATGTTTGAGCTGAAACATGTATTTGTGACTATTATAACAGGCATGCCTCCTTGGCAAAGAGGTAGCTTTTAGAAGCTGTAAAAATTCAAGTTAAGTACCGTTTTAATGCACTCTCAGAGGTAACTATTCCAAAGAAATCTGGTGGCTCTTGTAGACTGATATAGACTGGAGATTTGTACGGCAACAAGAATGTGTCACCTAGCTTTATTGGTTTCAGGATCGGATTTTTATTTTGGGTTTTCTAGTAGTGAAGATCATCTGCAATGTTCTACATATTACCTGGTGCAGGAAGCAGAATTTACAGTGGAGGAGGATAAACTATCCATCTGTCTCTCTGTCTTGCTTTATTATCACAATGTGATAGGCTTGGAAAGCATCATAAGTTCCAGTTTGATAAGTTCCATCTTTGATGGTGTGTGCATTTAATTGGTAAAACCAATTTGTTTAACCTTAAGTATGCTATTATTGGTAAGTATTGATGTCTATGCATGTTTCACTATGAAAGAAGATACCAAATAAGTTTATGTTATTTAGGCCAGTTTAAAACTTACTCATTTTTTTCAACATTGGTTCTAAACCCCAAATCTCTTTGTTTACTCCTTCAATATCATCCAAGCTACTGAAGATAGTGCCATTATCACCTAACTTTATCTTTTTTGGGTAGGCAGATTTGCAAACATAATCTTTGGATTCTATGAATGAGTTTATCTTAATGAATCCACTGCTTTTCTCCATATGATTGATTTTAAAAGGTTACTGTTTAATCAAATGAATCTCTACAGTTCAAATAAGCCGACATGGAACAACATATTCATCTAGGCCAACTGGTGGTCAAGGATACAGAATAGTGAACACAGAAACCTGTTTTCTATACTGTTCATAAAGAATTGGACTTAACCTTTTGATGAATAGGATATGCCTTTATTTTTGAGATTAAAGAATGTTTAAAGTTAGTAATTACTTTAGAGAGATATAGGACAATTAATTTGAGACTGCTTTATTTGAACAAGATGCCTAATTACCATGGAGAGTAGGATAGTATTAATTATTCACATTGTTATAAATAGATAGCTGCGGACTTGTTCTCACAGCACCCTAGAATCTCTAAGATTTTATGTCGGGCTTACAGAGGTATTAGGTTTATTACAATTAGATTAGTGCTAGTCAGACATTTATAAGGTATCATGTAAAGTTTCACTGATAACTTTTTACAGCTAGAAGGAAACATCTTCACTTTAAACATGAAAATTATATAACTATGTTTTGATTTTTATTGAAATGATGGTGGGTAGTATAAGTCATTAAAGCAAAGGAATTAGCTGACATTACTCTAGCTTATTTAACAAATATTTATTGCTGAGCTCTTACTGTAGAGAGTTCAGGCTCTGTATTTGACTCAGATTCCTACCTGTGAGGCTAGCTCTGCAGGGGAGGGAGGAGAGAGCCTTTTATATGCAACATGTTGGCCAGAAGAGAACTGCATTCCCCTCCCTGCTTAGTGAGGTATGTGGCTAGTGCTGTGGGAACCCTGCATGTGGGGGTTCAGTCTGGCTGGGGGTGGACCGTCTCCCAATTTTCTGCAAAATCTCATCTAACTTGAATCCCATCTAAGTCTCTGCATTGACAACAGACCAATCTATAAAGTTGTAAAGAAAGGAAGTGTCTTCATCAAAATCCTGATACTTAAAAGATTTTTCATTACTTAAAGTATATTTACCTTGTTCTTGGAAAGTACTTCTATTTCCCTTTATTTCTGGAACATGCAATTTCATTTCATTGCAGAGTGACAGAAGACAAGGTTATTTAGAGAAAGTACCCACTCTTTACATAAAGGTTTCTAAGCTTACATACAGTCTAGACACAACTTTTTCTGAAGTGGATTGAATTCATAAATATTTTGAGGGTCAGATGCATGTTTTTATTTTAAAGCTATATGACCTTGTCTTCATGAACATCCAGTTAGCTTCATTGTAACTGAGTGAAAAGCAGTTTTATTTATGAAGGTTTCTTAAATTGTATAAGACTTATAAAATATTTCTCTTCTCTTTTCTTACAAAATTCTGCCAGCGAGTTGAAAATGGGGACTTCAACTGGATTGTGCCAGGAAAATTTTTAGCATTTAGTGGACCACATCCAAAAAGCAAAATTGAAAATGGTAGGTTTTTTTGTACTTTACCATCCAAACATTTATTTTAGCTCAGCTTTAATTTTGTAATTTCCTCTGATAATGCCTTCTTTTGATAATATTCTCCAAAGAAAATTGTTTATAATATCAAGTCTTGTAGTTACTATGTAAAATATTTATTGTTTCGCACATGGAGTCATAATAATTGTTTCAAAACTAGTAAATTTTTAAGTTGCCATAAATAGGATGCTCACTTTATCTGACCATACAAGGATAAGAAAAGTGGGAAGCACCACGTTCATTAATAATGATGATGATGACGATAAGTTCCTTTATTGATTATTACATGTTGGTTACTAAGTAATCAATCACAGTGTTTTCTCACTTTCTCAGTAAGATGTAGGTGTGCTCATCTCTATTTTACAGAGGAGGAATGGAGGCTTTTGAGTAGGAAATTTACCCAAGGTCACCAAGTTAGCAAAACTGGTTTTCTGACCCAGAGCTGAATACTTGAGAATTGCTGCTGTACTGATATATTTATATTTCTTGTTCCACCATAGCAATAGAAAGGTTCCCTAGCTGACAGTAATTACCTATTTATAATATATGTTTAGCTAGGGACATAAAACATAAAGAATAAAAAGCATAAAGAATAAACATAAAGGGAAAAACATAAAGAATAAAACACAAAATAGGCATCTTGAATGAAACATGATCAGTGGTGAGAATTTTCTTGTCAATACTTTTTACTTATTTATTTTTCATTTGCTAGTATTTCCTACAAAATAAGTTAAAGTTAGGCACAAAGCATTTAATAATTTATGGGAGAAATACATAAAATTGGAAAAAAAACCACAATCCATATTATCCATGAACACAATTTTTTTTGTTTGTTTCTCTCTGGTCATAGAGCTGGAATATTAATTAGTTCCATGAGGGAATCTACTTTGGAATCCCTAGTCTAGATTTATTACTTTTCATCATCATCATCATCATCATCACTACCATTTCATTTAAAGTCTTTTGTAACTGTATTTTGTTATTCATGCATTTAGACTTGGTAATATTGTATGCTTCTCATTTCGTCCCTATGACATACCTACCAGGAAACGGATTTCTGGTCCTCCTGGGGGAGTGGGGGTGGCTGATCCAGATCGAGAGAGTTAAGCTAGCACATTAGAGGCCTCTAAACTAAAGAAAATGCTCACTCCAGAATTTGATGGCTCTTTTTTTGCTTTGGACATTGATTGATTCATCTCTGTCAGGTTGGGTTGCTAGGAATAACAGATTGCATGCCTGAGGAAATTGCTTTCTGATAGTCAGCTTGATTAAACTTTGGCCTTCTGTGCAGAATGATCTGGCTCAGGCTAGAAAATCTGTGTAGGTGTACAATTCGGGGTGGATTGCTATTGGGCATTCATTGTGGTGAAGTGGAAACATTGTTATGATATGGGATCAAGGTATTTTATGAAATTTTCTTTAAAGAGAACATAAAAAGAGTGATTTTAAAAGTCATTTACAACATTTTTATAAAACTGACACATTATATTTTAAAACAAGAAAATGCAGATATTTCTGATAAAAAGCATAACATGACCTATAATTCTACCCATTCATTAGGCTTACCAAAGTTGTTGGTCAGATTGCCAGGGACGTAAATTTTCTTCTATTGGCTTCCC